TATGATAAACACTTGTCCAAACTGGCCCTCTGTTTATCACAATTATTTTTTCGAATTAGCGTTTTTATAAAATGAGCGCGAATGCAACTTCCATTTCTTTTCGTGCAAGATTGTTTAAGTGAAAAGTCTGAATTAGTTTTAGTCGACGAACTCAATTCGTTTGTTTCGCGAAAAAGATCATATATAGCGTCTGTTTATTTCTCGGTTGACTTATGGTCACAGCAGCTTCATGAGGTAGGCGACTATGTTATCGTGTTCCTGAAACCTTATATAATATTTCTGAAAGGCTTTGCACTAAACGTCCATTAAGACAAAACAATCGTGAATTATAACTACCATTTCAATTTTAAAACCGCAAAACTGTTTCAAAAATAAAAAATATCTAGATCTAACCAGACACTATTTACTTAACATTTCCATAACATAATCAGAAGATGTAGTAGAGCTTCGGTTGTACTTACTCAGAGCAGAGTGTAAAAACAGGGCTGTGAACATTTTACCGGATTGAAGCCCAATTCTTCAAGCTTATGATATAGAGAAGTTGCCCCCAGCAGATGCCAGTACACTTATGCTATATAGTTCTTAACATGAAAACAACACCGACGCGACAGATTGTGTAACGTATTAAAACTCTTTTGATGGCGGTAATATGACACATGATAATACTCGATCGCCTCTCATTGACATAAGCCACCACTATTTTTTTCCTTCATAAAAGGACCAATGAAGCTAAAGGCTTTTTCCACCAGGTGCAGAGGAATTGTTCGCTTCAGCAAAACAGGAAACTCGCTATAATTAGCTATATAGAAATAGCTATATTAGTTTACATTTTCTTATAAAGCAGATAATAATAAGTTGATAAAATACGTTTTTAATAAAACTGGTTCATGAATCATGTTTAAAGTTTGTGGTCTTTTGTAAATCAGTATTTTCCTACCGGAAGCTTTATCGAGTATTCGATCTGTTCAACTGCGCGGATGCAAGAAATTACCATCTATCCATCAAATAAATGAAGCTGCTCGTTGAAACTGATAACGTTTACATCGTATTTTAATAACTTCACCAGCGGGACTGATTCTATAATACATATATGGGGAATAAACCAGGGGAAGTAGAAGTCCTCTGGTGAATTCATATCAACGCTGCATGTATTGTAACGACATGCAGGGGAATCCAGCATTTCTCTGAGTCTGCGAGAAACACATTAACATCGATATTTGTTTATATAGTAATTGGGAGAGTGGAATAGCAAATGATAAGGAGGGAAGCTCGAGCGCTCGAAGGAAGGCGCGCAGAGGACACAAATAAGTAAAAACTTTCCCTTTAAAGAGACGAAAAGTGTCCTTTATGGCTCCTCAATGTTAT